GGAATCCCACGGGAATCTCGTGACCCGTGGGATTCCCGAAAAAATGTCAGTCTCTATTCCAGACTTGAAGGGCCAACTTATTCAGAGGATCTGGAAAATCCTGCCGAAGAATCAAAGACAAAAAAAGGTTAGAACTGAAGAGCTCTGAAGACTCAAAGTTGACTCAGAAAACTCAGAGGGGCTAGACTACCCAATACTGGCAAACACTCTGACGAGGAAGTGAAGACAGTCTGCTCCTTAAATACTCCTCAGGGACTGATGGCCCAATAGGCTGCAGGTATGAGGTGAGAAGAACAGGAACAACCTCCAGACCAGCAGAGGACAATGGCACCATCTAGTGGGTGAACGGTGGAACTACAAAAGAGCATAAACAAGCCCCACAAACTGGAATCCTAACAGTGCTACCTGGAGGCATAGGTCTAATTGCTTATGAATCAGAAGTGGAAGCAAATCACAAACCAACAACGTCGTCTAATTTCCTAAAAGTTAAACTCAGGATTTTTTACAGAATCACACATAGGCTGCCATGACTTATACTTATAAATCCTCTCCAGCTGTTGTGGTATTGAAGGATGGAATCAGTTTTCACACACGCCAGTCATCTTATGACGAGAAAACAGCTCTCGTTATCTTTAGATAATGAAAAAATTAACCCGTTTTCTCCAGAAAACCATCACGAAAAAGTATCTGAGAGACAAGGCCGCTCTGGGCTTCCGTACTTTTCCTTCTGTTTTTAAAGTAATGATTTATTTGTGTGTGAAAAGTCTGAAATTCATATTTTCTGAAATAAAAAAAGTGGAAAAACTTCAGTGGTGCATGACCATGTGCCGTGACAGAGCGTGAAACCTGCGCACTAGTNTCACCGCTGCTTACCTTATCAAGGCTGCACTTTAAAAAATGAAATTGTCTAGAGAGATGTACTTAATAAAATGTCTTTTTTTTACACTTGTGTACAAAATGACAAAACAAAATCTGTCTATGTCTTGTTCCTATGTTAACTATTGTTTCATTATCATTCATTTATATATATAAATAGATTTTGTTCCTTATCAATGTTGCGTCGTATTTCAATTTTGAAGTTTGCCTCTACTATGCTTTCAACAGATTAGTACGGTTGCTATTGC